AATGACCCTAAAAACACTTTTTAGAGGAGCAAACAATTCTGTATCTGATAAAAAGCCTTTTTCTACAAATTTGATTGATCTCGAATGTTTCATAACATTTGAAAATTTTCATAACAACCAGCAGTTTTTGAAAGGTATTTAAATAGTGTACATTTTTGTATGAGATTAAAAACCTTTTTCAACAAATTTGAATTATCTTGAATGTTTTATAAGATTCGGAAATTTTCTAACCAGCAGTTTTCGAAAAGTATTTAAATAGTATACATTTTTGTATGAGATTAAAAGCCTTTTTCTACAAATTTGAATTATCTTGAATGTTTCATAACATTTGAAAATTTTCATAACAACCAGCAGCATTCGAAAGGTATTTAAATAGTATGCATTTTTGTATCAGATAAAAATCCTTTTTCAACAAATTTGAATTATCTTGAATGTTTTATAAGATTCGAAAATTTTCCAACCAGCAGTTTTCGAAAGGTATTTAAATAGTATACATTTTTGTATGAGATTAAAAGCCTTTTTCTACAAATTTGAATTATCTTGAATGTTTCATAACATTTGAAAATTTTCATAACAACCAGCAGCATTCGAAAGGTATTTAAATAGTATGCATTTTTGTATCAGATAAAAATCCTTTTTCAACAAATTTGAATTATCTTGAATGTTTTATAAGATTCGAAAATTTTCCAACCAGCAGTTTTCGAAAGGTATTTAAATAGTATACATTTTTGTATGAGATTAAAAGCCTTTTTCTACAAATTTGAATTATCTTGAATGTTTCATAACATTTGAAAATTTTCATAACAACCAGCAGCATTCGAAAGGTATTTAAATAGTATGCATTTTTGTATCAGATAAAAATCCTTTTTCAACAAATTTGAATTATCTTGAATNATTATAATTAGATTTATATTTCAAGGGAGGAGTTATTTTTAGAATCTTGTCCCTCTTTCACTTCCATATTAGGAAGCATTAAATGATTTTCCATGATGCGTAGAGTTACAAGGTATGTACGACTGGAACCTGTTTACAACAAAATCTGTAAGTATTTAATGCGAGACCAATGGTTTTCGCATGCCTCACCTTTAAATAAACCTTTTTAGAACTTATTATGGCTTATGACCGCATTATTAAAGCTGAATACAACAATGATAACAGGGATGTAGCCCTATTATATATATAGCGCTACATCCGAGAGAGTTTATATATATATATATAAATATATATAACCGTCGTTGAACAGCAGACCCATTTTTGGGCTTACGACTACTAATGTTCAACTCCACAGTCTTGTAATTTTGAACTCAATATAGAAGACAAGGGAACTCCTAGGTCAAGTATTGGGAAAAATTTGCCTTCGTGGAGGACTTTTTGATGGAACTAACCTGCATTTGCGTTACACGGGAAGAAAAACCACGAATACCTTCCACGTTTAGCCTGATGGCAAGGGAACTTTAGCGCATAATCCTTCTACCACTGAGGATATTTTACGTCAGCACTGTGGTCAACGAGAGCCTGGTGCGGAATTCGTATCAACCAGCCATCGCTGGGATTCGAACATGGTTCACCTCATTGGTAGGCGAACACTTTATCCCCTGAGCCCCCCGGCTCCTTGTAAGGTGATTATAAATTATTCGCTTTATTGTAATTACTGAGCAAATTTTAATTATTCATTATCATTAGTTGACTTTCTTTTCCTCTTCTTAGATTACCATGTTGAATAAAATTTTCACTGTAAATATGTAAAGTAAGTTTATCTTAAAACTTGATTTACTACTTTTTGTTTTAATATTTTGTATTTTTAAACTTATTAATATTTTGTTCACAGGTAAAGTAACAGTGACTTTGTAAACTCCGTAGTTTATTCTCATTTTAGGAAATGGTATAATTAACTCCCATACCTTTTAATAAGTTTTCTGTTTTTGGTGTTACTTATTTTTTGTCTGTTATATTTGTGAACATATTTAGATTTGTAAGTAGAATTTGTTTGACTATTGACTATATTATTTTGTATTACAGGTGGCATACTTTCGATTTTGGAAACTTTGTAGATATTTTCCAACTATTCAAAAAAATTGACTAATTGATAGCTGCGCTTTAATAAGTATCTTACTATGCATTAATTATCACCTTAATATTATTACCTTATGCCTATTATTACCTTACTATGCCTTTATTATTATCTTTCTATAAGATTCAGGTTTTTGGTGTTTATTATCTATATTATTCCTAAATATGTTGTAATTTTTATGTAGAATATATGCGATTTGATAATTTTTTGTTAACAGGTAAGTGAAGGATGATTTTCTTTTACCTCTTAGAATTTTCTTTTCATTCTAAAGATTAAATTATTAATTACTGACGAAGTAGTCAAGTTATGTGTTATTCTTCATTTGGATATAAATATTCAAGATTATTTTATTGGTTAGTATATTAAGAGGAAAAATTTTATTTATAAAAAAAAACTTTATAAATACAAAAGAGTGACAATATAAATTTTTGTTAAGCTCAAATTTATTGGTATATATTCAAGAATTAACAGAAATATTTAATATTTTTTTATTGGTTAGTAAAACAAAGGGAGAAACTTTATTAATAAAAAAGAAGGCGTTTTATTAATATTAAAGGAATATATTGCATATTTTTGATACCTTCAGATTAATTGGTTCCTCTTCAGCGGAATATAAATATTCGTGAAATAACAAATATGTTTTAAATTATTTTAGTTGGTACATTAGCTGGAAAAAATTTTATTAATAAAAGTGTGTTTCATTAGTATGAAAGGGAGACATTTTATATTCAGATTTATTGATTTGTTTTCATCCGAATATAAATATTCAAGAACAAACAAATAAGTCATTTTAGATTTTTTTAATTGGTTAGTACATAAATTGAAGAAACTTTATAAATAATAAAGGAAGACATTATCTTAATATAAAAGAAATATATTACTTAATTTTGATAAGTTCAAATTCATTGGGTCCTCTTCAGCATAATATATAAAACTAAGGATATTCGGCTGAATATTTAGAACATTCAAGATTTAACAAGTATGTTTTAATTTTGTTTATTGATTATTACATTAATAGGAAAAACTTTATAAATAAAAAAGGAAGACGTTTTATTAATATGAGCAGAATATATTACAAAATTTTGATAAGTTCAAGTTTATTGGTTCTTCTTTACCTGAATATAAATATTTAGGAAACGACAAATATGTTTAGGTTATTTTATTGGTTGGTATTGACGAAATTTTATTAATAAAAAAGAACGACATTTTATTTACATAAACGAGAGACATTGTTTATTCAGATTTATTGATTATTTTTCAGCCGAACATACAAAACTATATATATTCTTCTGAACATATAGAATATTTAAGAACTAATAGATACGTTTTAGATTTGCTTTTATTGGTTAGTACATTAATTGGAGAATCTTTATTGATAAAAAAGGTAGATGCTTTATTAATATAATATATATTTGTGAAAAGTTCAGATTTTTTGGTTCTTATTAAGCCGAATATAAATATTTAGGAAGTAGCAAATATACTTTAGACTATTTTATTGGTTAGTGCACTAATAGGCGACATTTAATTTTATTTATAAAAATGAGGAACGTTTTGTTAATATTAGAGACACATTATTTATTCAGATTTATTGATTCGTCTGATTTATGGATTGGTCTACTGATTCGTCTGATCTGAATATAACTATTCAAGAACTAACGGATACGGCGTTTTAGATTTTTTATTAGTTAGAACATTTGGAAAAACTTTATAAATAAAAGATGAAGTATTTCATTAAAATAAAAGCAAAATATTACATATTTTTGATAAGTTGAAATTATTTGGGTCTTCTTTAGCCGAATACATAAAACTATAGATATTCAGCTGAATATATAGAATTTACAGATTTAAGAAATATGTCTTAGACTATTTTATTGGTTATTACATTAGCTAGAGAAACTTTATAAATAAAACAGGAAGACGTTTTAGTAATATAAAACAAATATTACATATTTTGATAAATTTATATTTATTGATTCTTCTTACACTGAATATAAATATTCAATAAACAACAAATATGTTTTAGGTTATTTTATTGGTTAGTATATTAATTGAAGAAATTTTATTACTGAAAGAGAAAGGTGTTTTATTTATATAAATGAGAGATATTATTTATTCAGATTTATTTATTCTTCTTCAGTTGAACACATAGAACTGTATATATTCTGATGACTATATAAAATATTCAAGAACTAATAGATATGTCTTATATTCTTTTATTGGTTAGCACAATAATTTGGAGAAGCTTTATAAATAAAAGAAGCAGACGTTTTATTAGTATAAACGGAAGATAGCTCAGATTAATATTATTATGTATTCTTCAGCCGAATATAAATATTCAAGAAATAACAAATATGGTCTAAATTATTTTATTGGTTAATAAATTAATTGGAGAAACTTTATTAATAAAAAAGAAAGACGTTTAAATGCTTGTTTGTTTCCCGGGTGGTCCTCCGTTCTTGTTGAGTAAAATGAAAGAGAGGATAGCGCATGCGTGGTTCTCTCAATGGGGGAGCATATTGGTCTAATCGATAGATAGACCTAAACATCACTAGACGACCTGAAAGCAGATCGGCATAAAAGACGGCTAGAGATTTTCTATGTGCCGATCTGGAGTCGGTATAAAATGAAGACATTTGACAAATTATTTAATGTATTATTTACTTCTTTTATTTTTGCATAACACCTCTTATACAATATGGTGAAGACGTCATTAGTCCATCTTAGAAATGCCATGAATTAGAAGATAAAAAATGAAATATCAACCGGCATCTGAAAGCTCAATTTGAATTTGAAATCGTGCCTCAAATTGTTAGTGAATATAATTTAGTAGGAGTGGAAGATGAAAATCAAATTAAATCCAAACCAGAAAATTTGAGGTGATTTAACTTCAAGTAAGCTTTATTACTCAGTGTTTTTTTTTTTTTTTTTTTTTTTTTTTTTTTTTTTTTTTTTTTTTTTNTTTTTTTTTTTTTTTTTTTTTTTTTTTTTGTCTATAATTAAGGAGTTTGATGTAAGTGGGTTTCTTTTGAAAATAAATATGGATTCAACCAACTGAAAAGTTTGACGGATCATGGAAAAAAGATTTTTCAAGTGTTTGCAAAACAAGGAATGGGAAACGTAAGATCTGACATTTCGGTAAAGTTCATTATGTGTGTTGTACATTGAAATAATCTTCAACAAAGTCGATGCCGGTTGGAGTGTAATACTTACACTTTTGTAGTAGTACGAAATTTGTGATATAGATGCCTTCCTATCTGTTTGTTTTGTTGGTAAAAATAATTCGCTTCACTACGATCGTCATACAGGGGGTGAGTATCCCTGTACTTTGGAGGAATGAAGAAACAAAACGTGCGAACTTTGTCCTTGATCGTATGCACGTTTACATATCTTCTTGTTGGAGCTGCTATATTTGATGCTTTTGAATCAGATAATGAGCATAAACAAAGGGAAGCGTTGCAATATGTGGAAAACCTCCTAATTACAAAATATAATGTATCCCAAGAAGATTATAGAATTTGGACTACTATAGTTATTAAGAGTGTTCCTCATAAATCCGGCATTCAGTGGAAGTTTGCCGGATCTTTTTATTTTGCTACAACAGTTCTCACGACCATAGGTTTGTTATTTTTTATTTATTTATTTTCTTAATTTAATTTATTACCTGAAAGATTCAAAGTGAACTTGTTATTTAAAATATTTTTGCATGTTGGAACATAAATCATTCCAAGTTGTTCTTAGATAAGTAAATTTTTAAGACAATTTATTTATTATTATTTTGGAAGAAATAGAAAAGGGTTGAAATTGTTATGATTGATTTAACATCTTTTTTAATTTACAAAAACGTGAGCGATATTGTAGTTAAAGTGCTTACAATATTCAGAAATGCCAACTTGCTCCGGACAGCAAATAAATATTTTAGAGTGGTTGTTTATTAATGTGTGATTTTTGGTTTAAAAAATTCAATATATTAGGTTTTTATCTACCACTTTTTGTAAATAATTCAAAATCTTATATAATTCGCCACTTAGTTTTAGTTAATTCGTGCTATACCGTTTAAAAGGTAAGAAAAATTTGTCAAATATTTGCCATTTTTATTCGTAGTTGTTTGCCGTTTTTGAAATAATTATAGCTCATCCGGAGCAGTTGGCATCTCTGAATGTTTTCATTTTAAGCACTTTGAAAAGAATTAAATATTAAAAATTCTTTCTATTTATCAGATTTATATAGTATTCCTGAATATATTCTGAAAGGCTTAGAACTTTAGTTATTATATTAAAACAAGATAACGACACAAACAAAAGATATTTGAGCAAATATTTTAGACAACATTAAGATCTTGGTATTTTTTTATTTGTGCTTTATGTATATATGTTTCAATATTATCTCAACAAAAATATGAGCGTCACTTATCCCATTTTTTATTTAATTTTTTGCCTTTTATTTTACTTTCTATTTGATACTTTTCAACAAAAAGATAACTATTGTCCCCTCCCCCCTTATTTTTTATGTTACCTGCTATTTGATACTTTTCAGCAGAAAAATAGCTACTGCTTTCCTCATTTATTTTGGGCTTTTTATGTTACCATCTGTTTGATACTTTTCAGCAGAAAGATAACTGTTGCTTCACACGTTTTCTATTTTTTTATTCTACATTACTTTTTGTTTGATACTTTTCAGCAGAAAAATTATTATTGCTTCCCATCTCTTTTGTACTTTTTTATGTAATCTTCTGTTTGATATTTCTCAGGAGAAAGGTAACTATTGCTTATCTCGTTTTCTTCATTTTATTTTTGTTTCCTATGTTATTGTCTGTTTGATACTTTCAAGCAGAAAGATAATTATTGCGTTACACTTTTTCTATTTGTTCTTTCTATAATTTATTTTTGTTTGATACATTTCATTAGAAAAATTATTATTGCTTACCGCATTTTTGTGTGCTTTTTATGTTATCTTCTGCTTGATATTTCTCAACAGAAAGATAACTATTGCTTATCTAGTTTTTCCATTTTATTTTTGTTTCCCATGTTATTGTCTGTTTGAAACTTTCAAGCAGAAAGAAAACTAATGCTTCTCCTATTTTTTATTCTACTTGTGCTTCTTAAATTATGTTTTGTTTGTTTCGAAGCAGAAGGATAACAATTGCTTCACATTTTTTTTAAAAACTTTATTTGTGCTTGCAATAATTTTTTTTATTTGACCATTTTCAGCAGAAAGATAATCATTTCTTCTCTTATTATCGCTTTTATTTATTTCAATTAACGCTTCTTATATTACTTTTCGTTTGGATATGTTCCAGTACAAGGATAACTATTATTCTAACTATACTTATTCTATAAATTCTTTACGTGGCATTTTTTTTGAATATTTACCTCCGCTCTTTATACTCTATTATATTTAACGACTTGTTTGTCATTTTCTTTGTTAAAGTCAGAATTGATAATATATTTTACTGTTTACATTATACTTTTTCAACAGTTGTTTATTATTATTATATACGTCTGCCTACATGAGTTTTTTTAAAATTAATTTATGTTAAATTTTTTCTTTACTAGTTTTTCTTTATTTCTAAAGGCGGGGTATACATGAAAACACAAACTGAGAAAGAAGAAACAGCAAAACACAAATAATTCTTTCATTATCAACAGCAGAATATGTTGGCATTTCTTCTTTATAAGTTCTTGCTTATGTATAAGCATTTGAAGAAATAATCGAGGCGTTTTAACTAAAAAGAAATTTTTTTATACGTATTAAAAACTAAAATATGTGTAAAATACAAGTTATAAATATTGATGAAATGTTATTTCTAACTTATTGTCCATTTATTTCGAGTTTTCTTACCTTTTAGAATTTTCCATTATACTAACTATCTTAATTAATTATCATACCTTTTGTCATACTCATTGTGTATGACATGAACAAATTATTTTTCCAACTTAATAGAGATGTAATAGAATAATACTTATTATTTAAATTTATTAAATAAAATAATTCTCGATAATATAAATAATAAAGAATAAAAATTATTCTTGATAATATAAATAAGAACGAATTAAAATACATAACTAATTAAAATAAATAACTAATTAAAATAAATAACTAATTAAAATAAATAACTAAAAAGAAAATATTATGTAACAAGTAGGAAAAAAGTTGGCTAATGTGGACAGCATTTATAATTTCGCCAAAAAAATAAAAAAAATTTTAAAAAATAAAAATAAAACGTATTAATAATTTTTTTAACGCCATCTAGTACTTTTTTCAACAAATTTCGATGATACATAAGCTAATTTGAATGTTTACTTTTATTTATTCACATTATCCGCATGTTCTGAGGCTTGTGAGGACAGGTCTTAGAACTACTTGTAATTATTAAATCTTTTTTTAAAACTAATAGGAATTAAAATTAAAATGGAACTAATTTTCGTTTAAAAACTAAAAACGCCGTTTTTAGTATATAATCTTAGCAATCTTAACTATCATCAATGTTAAAACTTAATAAAAACATAGATGTTAACTACTCCTGTTTTAACAAGTATGTTGCGCTTTACTATTCATTTTTGAAATAATTTGATTTATTACGATTTTGCCACCTTGATGAATAAAGAATTTAAAAAACATACACTGTCAGGAATTTTCATTGTAAAATTACGGTAAAATAACCGGCAGCAGTTTGTCCATCCAATTGACCGTAAAGTTTACGGCGAAGAACATTTTTTGCCTTTACGGTTTACGAACACAAAACTATACCATGTTTTAACCATTTACAACCAGCATGGTTTCAAAACCATAAAAAAAGAAATTTAACTGGAAATTGAAGCTAAGAGCTTTATAGTGCTGCCATCAAAGTGTGAGTTTCGTATTCTACTGGCCAGGTTCGCAAACTGGGGAGTGCACAAGACACTAGAAACTGTTTATGTGTTGAAGAAAATGGAGGAAATATTGTGTTGTCAACTCTTTGACTCGAACCCCCGTTCTGTCGGTCATGATATAGACAGATTAGCTCTCTAAGCTGTAACCTGAACCCAACTGCAAGGAACAAAGTTACTTCATTAGGTGAACCTAGTTGGTGCGATACAATTCTAGTTGTTAATAAACAGTTTTTCTCACAGTTAACAGTTTGAATACCATCTTATTTATAGTTATTTAACTGTTTTGTTTGATTATGGTAAAATAATAATTAAATAAATTGTTATTTATCCATTTTTTCCAAAAAAATTCAAACCATCCATAAGACCTGACAACAGTGCCGTGATGTTCTATAGTGAAGACAAAATTAAACAAATTTTGCTATCTTTAATTGTTATTACGCAACCATATTGAATCATCGCTAGAATCTACAACTTTCGCAACGGTAACTATGAAAATTTTGTATAGGATACCTAGAGTTCTTAGAAATAGTCAGTTCTAAGAAAAGTTAGAGCATACTTCGATCATTTGATGCTTTTTATGTCCACCACTATATGTTACTTTTTAAAAAATAAATATGTATCTATATGAAATGTGCTTAACCAGACCTGTAAACGTTAAAGTGGTATTTCAAGAAAAAGGAAAATCTTGCTAGAATTAAGTTAATGTAGTCATTTGTTTGATTAAACTCATTATTAGTTCATTACAAAAAGGTAAATCAAAAGCATTAAGATATGAACTTAGGATATTCAAGTATAACATAATAATTTCTATTGTAAGAAAATGAGGACTAAAATTGAAAATTTCGATGTTTTTCACCATGAGAACTTTATTTTTTTAATTTGCTGATTAATTATCAAAAGTTTTATCATGCAACTATATCTGTAGGCTCAACACAAGCTTATCATTTTGACAAAACTTTCATAGCAATTTAGGATTTTCTATTTTTTAATTTTATGTTTAAATTCAGACACAAAATTATGCATAATACTATAGAGAATCAGAACGATAATTATATTCACGAAATAAGTGTAAAATTAAGAATTAAAAGTAAAATACAAATTTTTTTTTAAAAAATCAAACATTTATTTATATTTCTTATTTTTTTGGAATTTACAGCTAAATGAGATGAATAATAATTTTCTTTTAAAATCTTTCGAAATATAATAACTGCATTATCCGAGCATTAAGGTCTGAATTGATGTAATTTACTTCAATTATGACAAAATCCTTTCACCATAAAGTTACTTTTATCATTTATTATACCTTTTAAAAGTGAATATTTAGTCTTTATTTTGAAAAAAATTATGAAACAAAACATAAATTTAAACTTAAAGGGCGCAACATATAATAAAAAGTATATAATTTTAAATTTTAATGTGTGTGTGGGGGGTTGGTAGTTTTTTTCTTTTTTCATTTCTTTCATTCGCGAAAATTATCTCCACAATTAATAAATGATCTACAGCTATCAATGAAAAAAATATATCACCCTAAGTAACTTACGTTCTAATGATCGGATTTTACGCATTTTCAACTGATCTTAATGGTTGAATGGTGATCTTAATGGCTTAATGGTGATCTGAAATATATGACAATTAATTAGTGTATAGTTATTAAGCTTCGGGATCAGACACAAAAACGTACGAAAAAAACAACCCTTTTTTTGCGGTTTTGTTTTTGTGCTTTTGTTTATTAAAATATAGGGTGTAA